TTGACAATGGGAGAATTTTACTAAGTTCTCCCGAACCTCCACAATGTGAGTTCCCTGTGCCAGTCTCAAGCTCCCTGGAACAAGAGCCCTCCCTGCGCTCCCACTGCAGCTGCTGTGCCCAGTGACAGTGAGGAGCCCCAGCTCGGTTCCCTCCCATCCCGCAGCTTCCTCCTCTGCCTGGCACAGTGCAGTGTGCTGACCTGCCCCTCTGCCTGCAGCTGCTCTGTGGCCTCTGATTCATGGGCCAGAACAGGAAACTGAGCTAAAACGCCCCCTTCTCTGGTGCTGTGGCAGTTAACAAGCCCAGTTACTGGGGCCAGAATTTAATAGGAATTCGGAATAGCTGTTGGCATTGGATTGACTCCCCTCTGCCTGATGCCAGCATTACAGGGAGGGTGATCCTGAGTTTGGTCTGTTCCCACTTGGTCCCAGCTTGCAAGACTGGAACTGAATTTTCTTCATTTAAACCTTATCCTAAATTAGGCCTACAAGGTAAACATGACTTAGCAAACTGGTAATCCCTCATCTCTGCATGCCCAACGTCAGCCCGTGACCCTCATGTCAGCCCCAGAGAAACGATTTCCCTTTCTGCTCTTTATAAACAATCCTGAAAGAACTGAAAATACTTTTGCCTGTTTTCCCTTTGGAATTTTAGAAGCATTAGGTGTACCTTTGCTTGACAGCTTTCCCATGTCTCTGCCTTGAGCTCAAGCTTTAGTCAGAGGTGAATCTGAACAGCAATCATGAACTTCCAGGAGCTTGACAGTTTAGTGTCTACAAACAAAGCTGCAGAATGAACCCCACTTTCATCCTCAGCCACCTCTCACGTGCTGGATATTGATCCCACTAATTCTTAGCAAAAGCAGAGCTTTCCCTATTAGCAAAGATGCCCCTTGCCAGTTAAGCACCCAGGAGGACAGCGCAGCCTTTCAGACCTGATATTCTGCAGTATCCAAAAGAACATTCCCTGTGCTCTCTAAGCCATTGGAGCATTGCTCCCCTGCAGGCACTCAGCACGAGGCAGCAGCAGCCACTGAACAGGCTGGTGCAAACCCTGAACCTCACCCAGCACAGCAGCAGGTTCTGGTGCCCTTTCAGGCAGGCCCTGCTGTCACCCTTCTCCACACACCACATCCCCATTCCCCCAGATCCGGCTGCCTTGGGCTCAGATATCTCAGTTGGGGGTGGTTCTGCAAAGGCCCATCAGTCCCTGCCCCTCTGTCCCCTCACCCCCCCCCGACGTGTTGTGCAGGGAAGTACCGGGAGTTCCACCGGCTGTACGGCGAGAAGCGGTTCTCGGAGGCGGCGCGGCTGCTGCTGACGCTGATGACGGCTCACATCGCACCCTGCTCCTTCTGGATGACCCTGCTCACCGACGCGCTGCCGCTGCTGGAGCAGAAGGACGTGAGCACACACCAGAGCCCCCTGCCATCCCTTCTTTCCTCCTGGAAAGGGATCTCAAAGTGGTGACCCCTTTCCTGCCCCAGGACTTGCATTTCCAGTGCAGGAACTGTCCGTGGCAGCTCCATGTGTCCCACCACGGGACACAGGGATGGGATAATCAATTCTTACCTCTGTTCCCCGCTTTTAGAACAGCAGTGGGATTGATCTGTGCTGGTAATTTTAGCACACGCTGCATCCAGCTCCATTGGGTATTTGGCTTGAAGATTGTTCTAGTGTGCTTTCCTCTTCTAATCCAATTTTTACTTTAAGATCCATCAAGAAAAGGACCATTCAGCAATTACAGGCCCAGAGCAGCCACTCTGACCTTGTAGCTGACCCTGCTTGGTGCAGGAGATGGCACTAGAGACCTCCCAAAGTCACATCCGGCCCAAATTATCCTTTGATCCTGTGACTGAAAGGGTCAGAATGGATCTGTGGGAGTGTGAAAGCATTCTCTTGCTCAAAATGCATTTTCTCAGACTGCGTGATGTCCTTCAGCTTGATCATTCTCAGTAAATACTTTCATTTCCACAGATCATATTTTCAGCAGAACAGACTTACGAGTTGATGCGATGCCTGGAAGACCTGACTGCAGGAAATCCGGATAAGCAGAAATTCCAGGTAGGAATTTTGTTTTGAGGACAACTGGATAATGAAGTGGGGGGCTGTGGGGAGTGTCAGGAAAGCTCTGCGTTTCTATTCCTACATGAGGGCAGAAGAGAGGGACAGGCTGGCACAGGGTGTTCAAGGGCAGCCAAATGAGGCATCATCAAGACATCAGGCCAGAAGTATTCTCAAACCCAGTGCAGGAGAGCTCCCACTCCTCTGTTCTGTCGGTTTGGATTAGACTGTGATGCTTTTCCAAGATAAATAATTGCAAATTCCACAGGCAGTGAAAAGCTGAGGTGCTGCCATCCAGCAGCTCCAGCTCTGTGCGTTCCAGGCAGGGAACAGGGAGCCATTTGCTGCACATGCAAACCCCTGCAGCTGCCAGGGAATGAAAAGGCTTGGCACTGCTGTCCTGGGTTGAGCTGTAAAGTAGGAAATGTAGCTCTTGCTGGTTTTGGGAGTCCCTGTAACAGGTAAATACACAGGGACTCTCCCTCTTAATGACCTGCATCCTTACTTTCCAAACCCAGAGAGAGACTCTGTTCCAGCTCATTACTGTGTGCAGTCCTCTCACCCAAGCTCTGCTCCCTTCCAGGAGGATGATGTCGAGACCACCAAAGTGGAAATGCTGAGACTTGCTCTGGCACGGAATCTTGCACGAGTCATTGTCAAAGAAGGCACCGTGGAAGGGTCCTGAGGATGGCAGGATGTGATCTTCCTCTTCCTCTGGGGCTCACTGTACATAAACTGACTTTTCTAAAGAATAAATGTCTTGTTTTGCAGATTGCTTGATCATTTGTTCTTGTCTTCCATAAACAGACCTTACATGGATATGATTTTTAACTTTTAGGAAGGAGCTGCATCAAAATGTTAACAGTTGCTTGTTCCAGCTTGGCCTGGCAGCCCTCCCCTGGTGAAATGAGCCTCAGTGCAGCTTTTCCTTGCATTTCTTGGTTTCTTTACCTCTCAACACCCAGCACTGAAATGAAGGCCACCTCTTACACCACTGGGGTTTTAGAAACAGCAACTTTGCCATTTTTGTTTAGTTTGGATGGCCTTGAGTCCACGGGTTGGGTTTGAGGCTTTCCAGAACCAGCAGCGCCCTCCAAGAGCCGTGATGAGAAAGGGCCAGCCCAGAGCCAGGTAGGGAAAATGATTTATTCAACATGCAGCAGCACAAACGCAGGGGAGAGGTCTGTACAGGTAGGGCTGTTGGGGATGAAGCAGAAACCTCCCCCTACACACAAGGAACATTCATGGTGTAATTTCCAAAGCTTTCCACAGTGCATTCCAGGCAGCAGCACCACGGTGTTCCTGTCTGGCTGTGCTGGGAACACTAACACTGGGAATGGAGCCGTTCTGCAGGAAGCACCTGAGCTCTCCTGCCTCCCTCCAGGTCACAGTGAGATCCACCTGCAGGCAGTGAAAGCAGTGGAACTGCTCTGTCTAAAGTGCTGGCAAGAACGTGCCTGAGACAGAGAGAATTCCCTCCTTGTCCTTTATCCCAGTCCATGAATTTAAAACTGCTTTCTTTAGGATCCAAACAACACACCCATCCCTCTCACCTGCCTTCTATGTCAGGGAGCTGACAAGGCTGAGCTCTCCATGAGCTTGGATTCCACCTTCAGGGGCTTCTACTCTGATGAGGCCTCAGGCCTTGTCACCTCTAGGGATTTTCACTCTGCAGCACAGTAAAAATAACTACAAATAACTCCAAACTGTGTTTGCAGCAATGGGTTTTTACAGCCACCGTTCATTCCAGCAGCATCTTCTACTCTTGAGTTTTCCTACCAGAGGCAGGAGTCTCCTCCTTGTTTACTACTTTTCCCCATGCTGCTCCTGTTCCCAGTTTGAGAAGAGCTGTTGCTTGACAGCGCTGCTGGAAGTGCAGAGCTGGGTGTCCAAGGACTGTCCAAGCACCTGCCTGTTGCTTGTGTTAATGGATGTTAAAACCTCCCATCCATTTACAACAGTCTGTCTCAGAGCTCGTTGAGGCACTGCTTGAGATTGGAAACAGGGAGGGAGAAGGAAGGGGCCAGAGGAACCAGGTTTTGGAGATTTAAACCTGGTTTCTGGGAGATTGTAGCTAAGGGGTCAGTTCTCCTGCCCTGATAGCACAGAACACTGATATCCAGCAAAACTGCTTTCCCCTTTGTGGGAACAATTGCACTTTGCCACTTAATACAGGGAACAAAGAAAACAGGGCATTAACCCAGCACATGCCCTGTCACAGCCCTGGGGAGCCTCTTCCTTTCTTTGCCTGCTTGTTCTGTTTTGATACCCTACAGCTCTTCTATTTACATCTTGTAGGTCATTGTACTCAGCTCAATAAAACACAGTATTCAACTACACTAATAATACTTCCTGCATGAGGGGACACAAGAGGCATCTCTGCTTATCCCTGGATTCAGTCACTGCCCTTGAGTGGTGATTGTAAAGACAGTTCTGCGCTCCAGGTGCTGTCCCTCACTAATACTGACTGATACTTTCCAGCCCTCCTACCTTCTCACTACACATTTCCTCTTTTCCCCACACTATGGAATAAAATGGAGGCAGAAAAATAACCAGTGTAACCATTTGCAGACAAAACTCAGCCCCAGCTGCCCGAAAGGGAGGCAGCGGGGCGGCAGCCAGCAGTATAAAATAAATAGAACAATAAAGGTACAGCAGTGTGGCACACACTTACACAGGCCCCTGGGAATGCAGCAGGAGTGTGGGGGGAGGGAGCCAAGTGCCATTTCAGTGTAAAAAAAGAAGCATTCCCTCACGGAGCAGCATTATTGCTTAGCATGCTCACGGGGCTGGTCACAGTCCGAGGGAGGGCTCGTGTCAGGGCTCTGCACTGAGCTCACGGCGGCATCATCGCCCCACCGGCCCGTCAGGATCTCTGACAGCAGTGCAGGAACAAGCCAACTAAATCCCCTTCTGCTGACAGGTCTCCCCTCAAATTACGATAACTTCAAGTTTAATAGAGTGGAAGATAGAACCAGATTCACCCAGAGGTCATGATAAAAGCAGCCAGCACTGCCCGTCGCCAGCTGCCGCTCAGTTCATGCTTGGCATAAATGTTCCAGGGCCCCTTCAAGGTGGGGCACGACATTCTGGACTAAAGCTACAAGCAGAGTGGTCAGGACATGTAAACAAAGCTGAACATCACCAGTGGATAGCATGTGTGTCCCTCCCCACGGCACATCCGTTCCAGTCCTGTGGGATCCTGCCCTGGTCCTGTCACAGTCTCTGGCAGTGTCCTGAGGTCATAGATTCCCCCACTGCTCTACCGGGGGAAACTGATCCACTTCGCCCACTTCTGTGCTGGGCTGGTCCCCCAGGGTGAAGGTCAGTCTGTACCTCAGCCTCACCTTCTCCTGCAGGAAAGACAAAGCCCAAAAGCAACATGAGAACAGAGCCAGCTCAACAGCCACAAACGAAACACTTCACTGTTACAGCTCTACAGAAAGCACACTACTTCTGTTGTACAGCGCAGGGCGAGGAGGGACCAGGGTAAATTCGTGGAGGAGTTCAGCTCTTTACAAACCTTATTCATTTGTTATTCTACAAAAGTTCTACTGCTTAATGTGGAGCAGGAGGAGACAAACATTAATAACCTCTAACCAGTCAGCATAGACATGGCCAGCAGTTGGTCCCACCCCTCCACAGAGTTCAGCTGGGATCAAATGTGTCTGACAATGTCAGGATAAATCCCATTGTCCCTCTCACCTTTGCAGGATTTGCCAGAAGCATGACCTGGGTGATGGCAGCAGGTGGCTGGATGGGATTGAATGGAGACAGCTCAGTGCCAGAGGGTGGCTGTAGCTTCACTTTCATGGACTGCAGAAAAAGAAAGCAGAACCTCAGGGATTCTCTCTTACTGTGGGGAACAGTGAAAGATGCATGTACAGGCTGGGGGGACAACAGCACCCATCCAAATGGAGGAGGATCAATCTACAAGTGAGGATGAGGGAACAGAGCCAGCCCAGCTTGTGCAGCAAGGACAGGAGCAGGCAGCCCAGAGCAGAAACTGGTCAATGAACACCACTAGGACTTCCCTATCTGAATGCTCCTGTCAGATGTTTTGATGTGAAAACCTTCATGACACAGACAGATCACAGCTGAGACTGGGCCATGTTCAAAACACAAACACATCCAAAATTATCTAGGTGCAGTGAGACTAGAGTGGTCAGATTTAGGATGTCTGTTAGACATGCTGGTTCTGAAGACCTCAAGGGTACCTCCACCTGTGCAAAGGACACAGCTGGGTTGATCTTGGATAGCAAGAAAAACAGAACACCTGCAGTTCTTGTCTTACCCTGTTCAGTGTTTCCTGCCTCTGACAGGAACCTTTGTGTTCTGGAACAGGCAGGGCACAGCCTGTGGAAAGGTAGGCCCAGGCTGCCCCAGGTCCCCCAGTCCATGCCCAGGCCTTCCCAAATGCAGTCTCACACCCCCAGCCTCTCACACCCCCTGTCCCCACCTTGGGCACAGCTGCCTGCAGCACGATGTTCTTGACGGGGAGTGGGGCCGTGTTCAGCATCGACACCACCACCACCAGCACGTCCGACCGGCCCGGGGGGCACTCCCTGGCAAAGTGCAGGAGGATCCGGAACCCGTTCTTGTCGTAGGCTGTCACCGGCAGGGCACTGCCTGAGGGAGGGGAGAGGATCCGCGTTCAGGGAGCAGCAGAGGATCTGAGGCAGCGTCAGGAGATCGGGGTGCTCAGCTGGGCCGAACACATCCGGGTGTGTTGGGGCACACATGGGCAGCTGGGGCTGCTCATCCCCTCTCCCTGCTTCTACCTTGCCTTTAAAAGATATGCAGAGCAAGGTGAAAAGCCTGAGATACTTACTGGGTTTAATGGATTCCAAGGGAACGTGGACATTGGCCAAAGAAATTTCAGGCGCTTTCATGGGACTGCCTTGCTGCTGGAACGATGCCGGCTGGAAGAGAGGACTTCCTGATCCAGCAGTGCAGCTGCTTGGAAAGGGAGCTGGAGGGGCTCCAGGGGCAGTGGCTGGCAGCCCTGCCGGTGCTGCTAACGGGGCAGAGGTGACAGTGGTTGGCAAAGTAACCCCTGGGAACACTGAAGGTGTCGCCATGCCTTGGGTGGCAGTCCTGCAAGAGAGACAGAAAAGACACGGGGAATGGAGCTGGAAGTGAAGCAGCTGTTTCACCAACACCCAGAGAGAACAGCAGATCATGAGGACAAAGCAGCAGCTTGGAGACAGCCTGGAATCTGTGACTCCATAGGGTCTCACGTGAGGAGAGCTACAGGGACAGTAGTGGTGGTGGTGGTAGGGTTGGGGTCACTTCTGTAAGTCAGGAAGGAAACGCACAGCCCCACCTTGGCAAGGGTGGGCAAAGGTGTCTGTACCTTTACAGCCTGTTCCACTTCCCAGGCAACAGTACAGCTGTGTGCTCTGCCTGCCTTTCCCTCCTGGGGGTGGGACCTTCATACTCATTTCTAAACTGAAATCTCTGACAAGAAAAATCCCAATCCCACATTTCTGCCGAACTAGAGAGTTGCAAGCCACCCTGAGAACCTGGTGCTGCAGCAAACTGGGCTTTCCGAACGCAGAGCCAAAGCAAAGTCCAGGACTTTTGGTTACCCTTTGGCTTCATCAAGGAGTTGTCCCAGTGCATCCATCTTGTGTGACATACTGCTGCCCACAGAGGAGCTGAAGTACCCAGGAGCAGCTGGAATAGTCTTGGGAGGCCCGGCAGGGGCAGCTGGTCCAGCAGAGAACACAAATGGTGCTGAGTTGGGTGCTGGGATGCTGGGAGCAGGCTGGGAGGCTGGGAAAGCAGAAGGCAGCGTGGCTGATGTCCCACACGTGGTCTGTGGTGTGTGGTGGAGAAGGGGGTTCCCTGCAGGGTTGCAAGCAACAGTCACCGCCTTCGGATTGAAGAAATCCAGGTCCAGCTGGTCATTCTGAAAGAGAGGACAAGCAGATGCTCTAAATGGCTGCTCCCCCTGATGCAGAGATGGCACAGTTCTGTTACAGAGGGAAAGAGGTTTACCATAAACACAGGTGCTGGGTGGCAAACAGCAAAGTCTGTGGCCTATGTCAGGGCTACATCTGATCTGTAATTTAAGCAAAGGAAGGGCCAACATCACGGGGACAGCTGGGAAACTGAGAAAGCCAGGTTCAGGGGCATCTACTATGTTTAAAAACAGCTATCCCAGATTTTAGGGCTAAGCCAGAGTGCCCCTCAGCCTGTATGTATGATCACGTGCTTCTCCAAGGTGACAGTGTGTCCTGACACCTCCCACAATGATCACCCCTCCCTTCCCCTGAGACCCTCCTTTGTACCTCAAACATACTCCACTGGTTGTTTTCCAAGGTGTCCTTCCCTGCTGCAGGGGCTGGGTCATTCAGGCCTGGAAGGGAAAATAGAAAGCAGGTGACTGGAGGGGGACTGGAGGAGAAAGAGTTCCCTTGGCTGCTGTTTCAGTACCATCAAACTATTTGATTCAGCTCCGATGAAACGCTGAGATGGGCTGCGAGTCTGTGATGAGAAACAGAGACTGACAGCACCAGCAGCTGACAGTCACCCCCTGCACACAGCCCTTCTAATGCTGCAGCTGAATCCTTCAGCCCTTCTAACCCTTCCTGACTTGCACTGCCTCCTGCTGTTCACATCTGGGCTCCACAGGCAGGCATCCTGCAGGCTCCTATGCACAGCCCCTCTGAGGCACCTTCTCTTTAGCACAGCCCCAAAATCAGGGCTGAATCTGTGACAAAAATCTGCACAGGGCTGAATCTGTGCAGCCTGCACATCCAGCATGTCCAAGCCCCTCCAGAGATCAGACTGCAATTGCACTCAGTAGTTATTTCCTTGCAGCCGACTCTGGGAAGAGTTTTTGATACCGACTCACTGACCAGGTCTAATATTCAGGAAGATGCCAGGGAGTGTTCTCTGGACTCCAAAGGCATCTCACACTCCTTTCAAAGCTGACACAGCACAGCCAACCTGCACAGAAGCAGCCTTTGCCAGGATGGATAGAACAGGCCTTTTCCAGGCCTCTCAGTGTCTTACCCAAGCACAGGAGCTCCTCATCCAGCAAGGAGAGGGAGTTGGCTGTGCTGCCCTGCTGAGCGGGCGCTGCTTCCACGTGGCTGGAGGAGCTGCTCCGCAGCGGTGCCAGCGTCTGGGGAGGAGGGGGGAGGATGGGGATTTCAGCCGGGGCTGGGGCTGTGCTGGGGGCTGCACTCAGGGTGCTGGGAGGCATTGGAGGTGCCGGGGTGCTGCTGACGTCCAGTCCAGCGAGGTCGATGAGGGTGTTGAGATTGTTTGTGGAGTTACTCCCTGCAGCGGACAGGAGAAGAGCACTACTAGGAAAGAAGGCAAAAGGCTCAGAGCAAACCCCGTGCACAGAAGAAACTAACAGAGTGGTTTAGATATCACAGATCCTCCTCTGATCGTGGCTTATGGCTCTTTGTAACAGAGAACAGGTATTTGCTGTCCTCAGGCCACGTAAACCAACACAGATACCTCAAAAATTCCTATATGAAAACCTTCTGCAACCACTTAGGAGGCATTTTGTCCCCCTCTGATTCACCAGCTGTTGGCCACAAAGAACCATCAAAAGCCCCTTCACCACAATTAACAGGAAACACTGTTCAAAAGACCTACAATTGCAGGATTCAAAAGTCACACAGCTGGCTTCCCAAGAACTCACCTTCCACTGCAGACATCCCAGGCAGATCCACTTCACCATTGATCACTTGCCCCTCTATTATTTTTTTATAGGAATTTATCACACGGGATAAATTGTCACTGGCCTGCAGAATATCCCCTAAATGCAAGAGAGACAAAAATGACCTCCAAGGTTTCAGTCACTTTGTTCCCACTAATGCCAAGAGTGCTCAGTTATCAACTGAATAATCCAAGAAAACCCATAAATATTTGGCTATGAGCTCCATTATCCTGTCTGTGCCACACTTCTCTAAGCAATATCCTGACCCTTCTAGCTCCAAGCAAATTGCAGTGACAAGGAAAAAATGAGTTCAAGGCTGTTCCCTGCAGCAAATCCCCTTCCCTCCCAAAGCAGTTGTCCCCCATCATTGCCCCCAGCCTCCTGAACCACCAGCTGTACTGCCCAGTCCTTGCTTGAACTGAGATGATAAAGAGGCAAGGATTGTCCTTTACCTGCTTGCTCAAAGGAACAGTGCTGAGGTGTCTTTACAGCTGGTCCCTTGCACAGGCACAGGTCACAAAAGCAATTAAAAGAAGACAAGTGTAGCTCAGCTTACCCAAACTGCTGTCATTGTCCTCTGTCTCACTGGCCAGCTTGAACAGCGTCCGCCTTTTGGTTTCACACCTTTCGTAGAGCTCCTGGAAGACAGATTGGGACAAAGGGTTTCATCAGCCAGAAGCCACTGCCAGCAGCACCAGTCAGCACAGAAGGACTCCCCCAGCTGTGCACTGGGAGCCCAGAACAGAGCCCATTCCTGCTGTGCTGACTGTGCTAGCGTGGCAGGACAGCCAGGCCCCCCCTCCCTGCCCTGTTCAGAGCTGAGCTCGGGGATCTAAACACAACCTGCATTCCCAACACACCATCTCTCAGTCCTCCCTCCAGAGGAAAACTCCCTCGGAGTTTTTCCTCTGCAAAATTCAAGTCTGCAAGAAGAAAGGATTTCTGGGAAGAAGGAGCAGCTCAGACCCACCTTCATGAGCTCCCTGTCGGCCTCTGACGAGTCCTCTTTGCTGTAATGAACCAACATCTCATTCAGCAGCTTCACGTTGTTGTTCACCTCCTCCAGGGTGTGCATGCGCTTCGTCACCTTCTGAATCCGAGCCTCGTCCTTCAGGGTGTAAAGCACACACAGAGAAGGTGAGTTTCCCTGTCAAGGGCCAGGTGTCACAGCCACAGGTATTATCTGTGAACATGTCAGGTAATGTCTATTTACCCTACACTTCCAAAAAGTCTCATGAAAAAGACTTGAATGTATGATTATATCACTTAAAAATAGAAAAGTTCCCAGAAGTTCTTTTGGGAAGTTCCTTTTCAGATATTTTTTATTTGTTTTGGTTTTGGGGGGTTTTTTTGTTCACTTTATGCTTTTTAACAAAATAGATGTGTTTGAAGTAACACATTTACTAGGAGCAAGTAGCACTCCCTGGAGGAAAATGTTCACCCATCTCTGATTTAAGATTCCAACGAAAGATGAAGGAGAGTCTGCCCTGGGGACAAGAGGAGCTTGAATGGAAACATTTCAACAACCTATACATCCTTCCCAGTCTAGAAGCTATCCTTTTTTTTTTTTTTCCAGAATCCCAGTGAGTCATTTCCTGGACTCCAGAGTTTGGAATGCCTGCCCTGGGTGGATGCATCACAGCTCTACAAGCAGGAGGGTGACTCCACGAACCCTGTTTGTGAGCAGACCCCGTGCAATGACTCAGCCCTCACTACCCAGGGGTGGTACCTCGGTGCTCCCCCCAAATCATGCCATGAAATACCACTTTGAGTGATCAGAATGTACTTAATTACAACGAGGGACACTCAATTCTTGCCCTGTCCTCCACCAGAGACACCAACTGTGGACATTTCTATGACACAAACGTCCCCCAGGTGTTGGGAGCACAAATCCTAAGCGCTCCACCATCTTGAAGTCAAATTGCTTAAAACCTGGAAGGCAGATTGCTGACCTGGACCAATCCTACAGGAATTTCTTACCTCTTTTACCATGGATTTTATAAGCTTGTTGGCCTCTTGTAAATCATCTGGGTTTTTGCTTTTCAACAGTTTGGCTAGAAGCTGTAAGACAAGAAGAGGATATTCAGGAAACAAATAAAGACCCTTTGGCAAAGGAAAAGGAATCTAAGTGAACAATTCAGGGGAAAAGGGATATTATTACAAAGCTTACACATCTTTCACAGATACAAGGACTTCAGCAGGAATCATTTATGGTTTATTATCTTATATGAGTTGCTGCATTCCTGCTTCTACACAGGACTGTGAAATCTCAGAGACTTCTGGCACTAGACAGTTATTCCTCCCAGGGATCATTCTGGGGCCTGTGTGTGAAACATTCTCTGCCTTGTAGGGTTACAGCAGGATGGCACTTGCACCAGGAATAACCCCGTAATGGTAACACAGACAAGGCCTTAATGGGAACTTTGGGTTAATTAGGTGGGAAAAGCAGTGAATTTTGCAAAAGTACACACCACTCCCCCAAAATAAAAGCCACATTATTGTCCTTTGCTTCCTTACTCTAAATATGCAGTGATTAATCACTTTTCATTAGGGATTATGATACAAATCTTCACTGTACCTTGGATTTCTCCTCATCATCAAACACAGGGTTTTTGGGACGAGGTGGTGGAGAAGGAATCAGGGTTCTGTCTGCAGGAATCACGGGATCAAACATGACAATCCCTGGAAGCAGAAAGGGAACCCCTGTGGGTTGGCACACTCACACCAGGCAGTGCTCCCAGCTATTCCCAGGCTGCTGCCAGAGCCAGCACACACCTTGGCCACTGCCACTGCCCTGCTGTCCCAGTGAACAACATAGATCCCAATCCCTGAGCACACCAGCTGATTTTTACCTTCATGTTCCCCCAGACCCTCAACAAGAGCTAAAACTCTTCCTCTGAAGGGGAGGAACCATTTTCTGCCCCGTTCAGCCTCTAATTTATCCATCCCCAGTGCTACAGGGGACAGTTATGACCTGTAATCTGTGTGTCCTAACAGGACAGGATGGTTTCCAGACAAGAATTGTCTCCTGTGTTGAAGCTTCTGAGCTTTTTTCACTGTGCCTGCACAAGAAATGTGCATCAGCTGAACCAAAGGTACAGCTCCAAAGCCATCTTGGTAGAAGAACACAAAAGGCTACTTGGAGGCTTTTGTTTCACTTTAAATTAGATTTGTTCAAATCATTTAATAACTAGTTCCACCACAAAAAAAACAAAACAAAACAAACAACTTAAAAAAGGTCCTCCAAACCAAAACTAAAGTATTTGCAAGATATTTAACTAATTCAGCTAAAAAGCCCAACCTAATCCAGCCCAAGGCACTTAAACATAATAAAAAGCTTTTCAGAGAATTTCTCCCTTGTTCCATCTCCCCTCAGAGCTTGCCTTGACCCCATTTAATTAGAAGCTCTATATTTTGTGACACTCCTGCTTAAAGCACAGCTCCAGAAAATGCATGAACGAGCAGCTGACTTCCTACCTTGTCTCTTCAGCATGTAATAGGCATCCTTGATTTTGGATTCCTCTGGCAGTGCCACTGTCCAGCTGTACAGCAATTCAATTACTTTGGACTTCACCTTCTCTGAGACTCGGTCTCCCAGGTACTGAGAGTGGAAAAAAAGACATAAATTCCCCCTGTTCTTAATTTCTCTTTAAAAACAGAGCTCAAAGCCAGAAGCTCAGTGATATACATTAAAAGGTGTATGAACCAAGTTCCAAGATGATCTAAGATAGACCTTATTAAGAGGAAAAAATGCTCCTCTAATAGATTTGAAATAACAGTGAAGAGCAGCTTTGTGATTATCTTCAGAAAAAAAGAAAAAGCAGCTGTTCTGTTGGCTTCAGGATTTTGCTATTTAAAATTACAGCAGTCAGATAACCACCCCCTCCCCTGCCTTATGGGAGAGAGTCTGGGAATACTTTGCTGCATCAATCATGCCATGGGGATGATTTTCACCATGTTAAACTGATCATGAATGTCCAGGGACGTAGCCAGGCACTCTTTACACAGCAAGTCAGCAGCAGAGTGAGGACTAGAAGTCCATGGTGTGTTGCCAAGTCTCCTGTTTTAACCTCTGCATCACATTTCTCTTCCACTACCACTGGAGTTTTGTTTTTTAAAACAACACAGCCCGAGTTTTAGAAGCCCTTGAGTCACAGGAAGGATGAGAACAGCACAGAGACGATATACCGATGGTTAATAAGTACATCCTAATGAGGAAAATACTAAGCAGAGCATAAAAACCCCCAGACAACAAAAATTTAGTTAACAAATGCTCTTGAGTATAGGCTAATAAATGCAATGAGCCAGACAGAACACTGCAAACATTTTGGATGTTGCCTGTAGCTTATGGATGTCAAACAAAAAGTATCTACAGCCACAGACTCGGGGACTGACCTTTGGAGACACAACTTTTATTAACTCGTTTAAAAAGCGGAACTTCCCAACTTCATTATGAAATCTTCTCCCACAGTTCTTCATGCAAGCTTCCAGCACCTGCATTCAAGGAACAAAACCAGGGGCTGAAATGAGCACCAAAACCCTACAATAACAGTGTGTGTTCTGTTTATAGGGAAGGTGAAGGGCCCATGTCAGTGGGACACGTATTCCTGCTCCATACAGGCATCGATCTCCCATCTTCAGCAGTGACATATCAGGACCTGGTGTCCCACCCTCACCCAAGAGTCTCTGGGTCTGTTTTATCACCATTAGGTCTCCCAACAATGAACACAAACCTTGCTGAAGATAACAAACAAAAGCAGCTCAAACTAACCCAGAGTTATCTCTGGCTGCTCTGTGGCTGGTGGGCAGGCTGGACACTTCAGGGATGGAACTGTGCTCCCTCCCAGGGATGAGAATCAGGGTGCTCAGCCCCCAGCTGACCCCACGGACACTCCCTGTGCTCCCCTAAGATGATGCAATAGGATACATGACTGGGTTTAAGAGGAGGGGTAAGGACTACCTACTGTCAAGGCTTGGACTGCCTCCCATTCCTGTGGAGATTGGATTTTATGAGCCAGGAGTCTCACAGCAATCTGTGGCCTGGAACAGAGCAGAGCTCTGTTACACACCAAGCAGGCAAACACGATGGAGGATTTTCAGACTTCCACACATCCCGCTTTTTAAATGAAACGTCTTCCACATAATTAAAAGGAAATGCCACTAAGTACTTTTTATCTTTCTACCACAAAGGCTAACAAGAAAGTCTCAGGGCATCTTTGTAAGCCTGAGTGTCTTCACATGCAAGGGAGTGAGGGCTGGTAATTGGGCCAGCAATTCCAGATTCCTCCTTGGGAGGGGCCAAACAACTACCAGTACAGTTCCCAGCCCAGGAAATCACTTCATTTCTCTTGCATTTGTTTCCTTTTTCCAGAACAAAACACTTCTTCCTTAGCTCTCAGGAATGCTGAGAGCCAGGGGGTTTCCTCAGCTAAGCCCAGTGAAGATTTTAAAGATGTGAAGCCCCACCAGCACTGTCAGTGACAACCCCATTTGCAGGCTGGCAAACAGAGTAGTTTTGGCCAGAGGAGAACCCTGGAGCCACAGAAGCTGAAATTAGAGGCAGGTTCAGAATTCCCAGTTTCCCAGTGCTGACTGAGCCACTCTGCCTTTCACAGAACAGAAACACTTCACAGCATCTTGTCTCTGCTGTAGCCAGATCTCCCTTGTGACATCAGTATATATAAAGGAAAAGTGAATGCTTGATGATGAAATGACACATTTTAAACTGTGAGTGTTAATTTATGAAGTCTAGAGCAGTTTGGGACACCCACCCTTCAAGTTCTTTGTTGATCTGGTCACAGAATCCAATGATGTATTCCCAGTCTTCTTGCCTGTTAGATGGGTTGGTGGCTTTATCTTTGGCAAGGGAAAGAGAACACGTTACCAATCAACAACAGAAACAGTATAAAAAGTCACACATTTCCTAGAGAAAACCATTTGACGTCCTTTGCCAACTACACAAAAGGAGAAAGAAGTTCACATACGGTATTTCTGTTCAGGGAAAAGGGTGTGTCCAAGCTGAGCCATCCAAATATCCAGCAAGAATCGCTGCTTTCCAAAGAAAGCAGGTGCCAAATCTCAAGTACTTAGAAACAGGCTCCTCCCATACTCTAAATGAGAGCACAGGATAAAATATTTCAGCTCACCGTTTCCTCTGCCTGAAACGCTGTCTCCTTCTATTTGGCTGTAACATTAAACTCCTTAAAGGTTAAACCCTCACATTTTCTACATGGGAAATTATTTCTGTATTCCCTGGGAGCTTTGCAGAAGCAAGAGCTGGAACATCAGATGTCTAATATAAGTCATTTAGCATTAACACTTGTTTTTGGAGTGCCAGCTGATTTGATAGATGCCTCAGCATTTCTCCTGGGAATTATGAAGCGAAATTTATTACTATAAATTGGGTTCTTCTTGCAAGTAATAAACACCACAGCCTGTACCTGATCAGGAACTCAAATCCTACATGCTGAGGCCCAGAGATCGATGCTCTTCTGCCGGGGCTATTCCAGGCTCCTGAAGGATCCTCCCTTGGGGACTGGTACCTTGCTGACTGTACTGATTGCACAATAGTGAGGCTATCAGCATCTTTTTTGTTAGGAATGCACCTTCTCCATGTATTCTGCTTAACTCTGATGCAACACTGATTTTACAGTAGAAAAGATTCCTGCTTTAACCTAATTTTTCAGCCAAGCTGACTGGACAAGATGTTTTTTCTTTCTTGTAAGGGAAGAAACAAGGGGCTGTAGCTGTAGCTATGTATCTAAGGGCTGGCATTTAAGAAGCCTTTCTCAAAACTTCAATACAACGGAAAGAGGTTTAGGAAATAAAATATTGCTTAGTCAGACAGCATAAAGCAGGAGGTGAAGGACAGGAAAAAACCCAGCACACATCCCTGTACCTTCATCTCAGAGGGGAGAGTAACAAACCAAACACGTGCTGCACTACAAAGTGTCATTTTTTATCATAATTAAAACATATCCTTTTACCTTTCCAGAGGCAGCTAAAACCAGCTGTCAGACATCTACTCCACACCCCAGTCCTACTGCGCCCATCCTACAAGGTTTGCTTCATTTCCCTCCTCACTGAATGGAGCTTGTAAAGCAAGGAAATTTTTCCATGGTTGCATCTGTAAAACGTTCCACAGGGATGTGCTCACTGCTAACTTCCATGGGATCCTAGATGAGCAAGCCACAGCCAGGGAGGATTAACTGCAGGATCACATCCTGTGCAACTCGCTGAGCTACCAGGCTAGTTTTGAACTCAAGATTCAAAGGAGGCTCAGTTTAAAACACAATTGTTCCAAACACGGGGCCCCTAAACCTTATTAACACATTCCCAATTGCTGAACGCCCTGAAAATATCACGAAACCACGGATTTACAACAGTCTAAAGCCTCTTCATGCAAGTCAAACAACGCCGTGGTGGTTTGGTGCTCCAAAGCACCTCTGGTGCTCGGCAGGCCCAGATGAAAAACACTCAGTTCTTGGCTGGAGTTAAGGAAGTTTATTTAAAAAAACAGAGGAAGGGCACAAACACCTAAGGACACACAACCAAACAGACTCTGTTGGTTGCACATCCTGAAATTAGGAAAAATATAACCAAAAAAGTACAAACAGGAAAATGTAACTGACGTTTCTATCCTCCAAGTGTTGATTTTAAAGCTGTTCTGAACATCTCCACAGATTTCTCACAATGACACTGGATTATTTCATGCTCTCATCAGATTGGGTCCAGACTCATCTAAGTTTTTGCACCAAAAGCTCTTGTGCAGACAGTGAAGTCTCAGAAGGAGAGAGTGACTGTTGAAGGGAAGTGCTGCTCCACATGAAGAAAATCCCTGCTTCCAACATCCATAAAACCTCGCCGTGAAGTCCTGGTTCATAAAAGTTAATGAGCTTGATCAGAGGTCCTGCCCCAGCTCTGGAGATGGATGTGCTTGCACGACACAACCCACCAGGGCACGTGGATTCCCAGCCTCAGCACAGAGACACACACATGGCCCAGTGGAGCAGAATCACCTCCCTTCACCTTTTTGGGACAGTCCTACAGGAAACCATGTCATGTGTGCCAAGGCATAACTTAAAATCCTTTCTTTTTATGCAGAATGCTTAAAATGTGGGCAAAGAGCTCCTCTGTACTGCTTTATAAATGGAATCAACCCTTATGTGAAAGGATTCACTCCAGGATGGAGAGTTTGGTGCTCTGGAATATCAAGTCCTTGGCTCCTCTAATGAAACTGCCAACCAAAGGCCCATTTGGTACCAGTTATTTGCTTTCAGAGACACTTGTCCGTCAGGTCCCATCCTGAAAATCCCATTTCACATTGGCAACCAAGTGAATCTGGATTAGCAACGTGGGGACAGGAGTCTGGGCACCACCCCAGTCCTTCCACCACGTCTGGCCCAGCTTTCAGACCCCGTTGCAGAGCCACTCAGCCCTCAGGGGCTCTGCCAGGCCCCAAAACACTCACGAGGCAACATACAGATGGATAATTGGATATGAAATAAAGGTGCTGGTTTCCTCTAGAGACGCTGGAACGCAGAGAACCACAGACCAATGACTGATTGATAATGAATGCCCATGTTTTCCTGGGTTCAGTTATCTCCTGAAATGAGACAAAAGCCACCCCAACAAAGGGTTTCCCCAGGTCAGGCTCAGCATATGAACTGAGAATGCCCAGCCCAGGCATGTTGAGTCTGACAGTCAGATTCTGTTTGTATCCCTGGGCAGAAAAGAATGCTGACCCAATGACAAACCAAGGGAATAAATAAACTAAGACAGTCATTATATTTTATCCGTCTGTATCTATTCCATAGCTGGGCATTGCCTGAGCCTGACAGGAGTAGGATACAACAAGCTTCCTTCTGGATGCAGCAGAACAGGCAGCGCTGGAGTCAAAGGCTCCAGCTGTGTTTGCACAACTGACATTATTTTCCAACCTTCTCCTGTTTCAGCTCAGTGCAGGAGCAGAGCCTGCCAGCCAGGAGGGTCAGCAAGGATCACCTTCTCCCATCACAGCTGCCTGGAGGAGGCAGGACACGCAGATGCCAGCTCACGGCTGGCTGAGGCGCAGCTCCTGCTGCAGCGGGAGGACACGAGGATGATGTTACTTCATGGCTCTGTGACTCCACCTGATGCCAGAGACAGGGCAGCAGGAGGCTGCACAGCACCAGAGGAGAAAATCATTGGCAGCAAGGCATTTCCCATCTTCCTGTGGCTGGGAAGTTGGCTGTGCTGCTGAGCCATTCCCTTCAGGAAGGGCAGAGCAGGGCACACCCTCAAGGTTAGCACAGCCACAGCTTTTGTGATGATGAGACAAAAGCCCCCGGGAGGCCCCGGTGACAGCCCTGAGCTGCACCAGCTCTGCCTGCCCGGCCTGAGATTTCTCCAGTAATTCCCTGACAGGGAAGGCTCTGTGATGGGAGGAGCGACTCAACCACACCAGCACAATCACTACAGCAGTGACCTGGCAGAAAAGCATCCTCCTAAATGAGAGAGCAGCACTCGAGCCTTGAGAAACGTGTGCCCCCCTGCAGTCAGGCCCTGCCATGTTTTTCACAGTGAGTAAGGCCTTTGGAACTCTTCCCTTTAGCCCACGTTCAGAATATCTGACTCTTCAGCCAAGCACTGATCACCTCTGTCCTAACTTCCTCAATTAAAAGAAATATCCCCACAAAACAAGCAGGCAGGCAGCTTTCCAGGCTACACAACCTAAAATATCCTTCCTACTCGAGATATTTTCACATCCAAACTGAACTGGGTGAGTCAGCTCTCCTCAGAGAGATGGAAAGGAAGGGATGTGGGTGTTCCTCCTTGTGCCTCACTGGCTACAATAGAAGATATTGACAAACTGTGGGAGTTCAGAGGAGGAGCAAAACCCGTGAAGGGACAGAAGGGACTGAGCTAAAATGAGGAGGAAGAGCTGAAAACATCTTTTAGTCAGTAACTCGTATAACAGATGATGATGGAATGTACATGTTTGAGTTTTATGTAAAAACACCAAAGAAGAAGGAGAATTATCTAATCTCGCTTATGGAAGGATAACTCCAAGGGTAACAGGTTTTACACTCTGAAGTATTTAGGGTAGTGACCATCTTCTGCTGTTTGCCCAGTGCCTGACTACTTGAAGCTTCACTCACTGCCATAAGCAAACAAATAACTATTAAAAAAAGAAGAAAATCTAGGCAACAAGCTATGATGTGCAGGATGGCCACCCAGGGACAGCAGCAGGAGCTCCTGTGAGTGTATGAATGTATGAATGTATGAAAAACAATTACGGTTATGACTGATTCATTCAGGAATCACATCCTGATCCGGCGGCGCTGGGCTGGGATCCCAAACTCTGCACGGCCAGAGCCCAAAGGCCACGGGCAGCACAGAGAGACACAGAGATAAGAGACACTCAGCAGGAGCTGGGGATCAACAGGCCACGGGGGTTTGTCCCCTGTCTCTAATCTTTACGACTGTGTGATAAAACATAACTTATGTGGACAAAGGGTTTTGATTCATTCCAGCCTGTATGGAATGGATGTCCACAGCTACCCTGAAACTGCAACCAGGCACAGAGCAGAATCTGCCTGCTGGAAAACCACGGTTGTGTAACACACGAATGCAATTTATTTGGGAAACCAGACAGCTCTGACCCTCACAGACAGCACTCCAGCTGTACACTGGGCTGGCCAAAACCCAGGTAAAGGAAGGGACAGCAGTGACAGAGAGCGACCACGAGCCTTTATGGTCAAAAACCAGCACCAGCTGAGCGAGGCGAGCTACAAACCTGCCCGTCCCTCACATCTCCCACCAAGGAGCCGATTACCGGCCCCCCCTCACCCTCACCGCGGGCACCCCCGGGCGGGGCGGCCCTGGCCCTGCCCCGCGTCCCATCCCCGCGGTGCTGACCCCCCCCGTCCCCGGGGTGCTGTGCCAGCCCGTCCCCAGCGCAATGACACCCCGCCCGGGGGGCCCGCCCGGCTGAGGGGGCGGCGGCGCCGGGCGGGTGGGCGATAGGAAGAGCCGGCGCGGAGGGGCCGGGGTGGGGTCTCCCAATGCCAGGAGGGCCGGCGGGCCCCCGGCAGGCCGCCCCGGCGCCGGTGGTGGCCGGGCGGTGCCCTCAGCCCCTCGGTACTCACTCAGCCACGACTCCAGGCTCTCCCCCTCAGCCTCCGCCATGTTGCCGGCGCGAGCCCAGGCCCCGCCCACCCTGCGCGAGACCCGCACGAGGAGGCGGGGTCTGCGCCGGCCCCGCCCCCCTCCCGCGGCGGCGCGCGCAGGGAAGATGGCGGCGCCCAGCGCGGCGGGGCTGGGCCGGCGGCTGCGGGCCTGGGTGCCCCGGTGAGCAGCGTGAGGGGACCCGGCGGGGAACGTGGGGGGGGGGCTCGGGGTGCTGGGCGGCACCCGGGGCACGGGGGGAGGCCGGGTGCCGGCTCAGCAGGAGCACGCGGGAGGTGGAGGGCCGTGCGCCGCACAGGGAGCGCCCGACTGCTGGTTGCGGGGCTCGAGCAGTGACAGAATTAATTATAAAAGCATCAAGGTTAGAAAAGACCTTTAAGATTATTCAGTCCAACTGTCCGTTGTAACCACTGAACCACATTACCCAGCGCCAGACGCCTCCGGAACACGTTCAGGGATGGTGACTGCACCACCGGCCTGGGCAACCCGTTCCAGTGCCTGACCACCCCAACAGTGAATATTTTTGTAATATCTAATCTGAATCTCCCCTGGCTCATCTTAAGGCTATTTCCTCTGGTCCTCTCACTGCAGGCTTTGCAGGAAACCGACCCCTACCTCACTACAACCTTTCTGGTGGTTGTGGAGAGCAGTGAGGTCACCCTTGAGCCTTTTCTTCCTGAGATTAAACCACCCCAGCTCCCTCAGCCGTTCCTCACAAGCCATGTTTTCTAGACCTCTCACGAGGATGATGTTCCCTCCTGGGCTCGCGGTGTTGGTTTGTGCCTCGGGCTCTGCTGCAGCGATGGAGGGGAAGGCAGAGATGCCTCTCACATCTAACGTGTCCCTCTGAGACGTGTTCACATCTGTCCACATCTGTGCACATCCCTGTCACGGTGTGTGTGGGGTGACAGCCCCCCTTTCTGTCCCTCCAGGCTGATGCAGGTGAGATGGAGCCGCTACAACCCCAGTTACCTGGAGCCAGAAGTGAGCAAGGAATTGTACGAGAAACCTGTGGAGGAGCTGACTGAGGAGGAGAGGGAACAAATGGAGCTCAAGGCTGTTCGACCCATCAAAGCTGCTCCTCCCACTCTCTCCAGCTCTGTGTTCAGCGACCCCATGATCAGGTCAGAGAAAGCAGCAGCTCCTCCTCTCTCACAGGAGCCAAAATCCTTGGGAGCTGTGCTGCCCTCCTCAGCCTTCGCTCCTGGCTGCACGTTGCCTCCTGTTACAGCACAGGCCCTTTATTCCAGGTTAATCTTTTCCCATCAGCCAGTCCATTGTCCTACAGTGATTAGAGATAATTACAGATCTAGAAGCACCCAGACTTAATCACGGGAACAACACAAAGGGTTGGGGGGGGAGCTTATTTCTGTGGGTGATAAAATCAGAATTCAACTCGGATCCCATTTGACTCTGTGTTTTCAGTAAATTCATCAATATGATGATGAAGGATGGAAATAAAGTGCTGGCCAGAAGCCTCATGACTCAGGTGAGAACTCATGTTTCTTCTCACTGCTATGTTAAAGCAAGATAAAATGGAAGGCTGGGACATCAAACCCACTGGAATTGGGAATTACCAGAACTCAGGTCATCTCTGTGGTCCTGATGCCTTTCCCTCTGCAAACACACTACTCTCACCATGATTTATCTGATAAACCCTGATTTCTCTGATAAGATGTACCAGCCCCAGCCTCATTAGCTCACAGACCAGGTGACAGCCTAATGGAGAACCTCCTCTTTGCACTCTTCAGTATCCCTGGGACCTTCTGTACTGCATAAACTCAGAGAATACCCTTAAAAGCATAATTTGCTCAAAAGATCTCCTTTCCAGCTCTCTGTCATGCTTTACCTCCTGCATAACTTGCCCATGAAGTCCCACAAATGTGTCACCTGCATGACAAAGCTTTGACCCCTGCAATGGCTGATAAAGAGACTGAAGAGATGGAATTGGGTAGAATAAAACTTGAGTTAAAGAAACCCCAATGGGCCTGTTGCTTATGGGGCTGGAAAACCATCTCAGGTGAAAAAGGGGTGTCTGTAAAAGCGATGTAACCTCATGGAGTGGGATAATCCATCTGCTCTGCATGTCTTATTTCCTGCCTTTGTCCCAAGACTTTAGAGACCATTAAGAGGAAGCAGCTGGAGAAATACCACAAAGCTCCAGAAAATGAGAAGGAGACAATTGAATGCAACCCCTACGTCATTTTCCACCAGGCTCTGAAGAACTGCCAGCCCATCATTGGGCTCAGCAACATCACCAAAGGAGGCAAAACCTACCAGGTGAGGAGAGAATTATAGCAAGGGAGGCAGATGAACTGGTTTCTACCTTTTCAGCTAAAGATTTTCTCTCCTTGGAAAGAGCCACTTGGCAATCAGGATTAAAACAGCACCTAAAATCTCTGTCCAAGATCAGGACTCCCACCTGTGAGCGTGATAATTCCCCTGTCAGGATCACTAAGGTTGGGAAAGACCTCTAAGCTCCCAGAGTCCAGCATTAAGCAGCAGCAGTCTCTGGTTCTCTGACTGAGTATGAGGAGAAATGCACAGCAAGTGCTTTCCAAGGAGACAGAAACCAGCAGCAAAAGAATTGGCAGTCCTGGGACCACCAATCCCATCCTCTCAGCATCGTGTTGCTTGTGGAGAGGTCCCAAAGCCCTGGGGCAGGTCAAGGTGGCAGCAAAGGTCAGTTAGATCCAGTGTGATGTTTAAAACACGAGCAGAACCATTTTCTGAGTACGGGCTCTGCAACCCTCAGGACCTGATGGAGAGATGAGATGAGGCATTTGGAACTGGGTGATGGAGGTTGGAATTACATGACCCTTAAGGTTACTTTTAACTCAAACCATTCTGTGATTTCTCTGTATTCAGTGCAGGGATGGGGTGGCCTCTCCCATCTCTGCCAGCACAAAGCAGCCTGTATCCAGCTCCCATTTAGGCCAGAAGTCCATTCAGAGGCCAGTGCCAGTACCCATGGCTGATCAGAATTTCTATTTTGGCAGCAGTGGCCAGCTCCTATGGCCAGAGGAGGGGAATTGGCCTGGATCAGCTGTCAGGAGCGGGTCTGGCTGCAGAGAGCAGCACAGTTCACCTCTGCAGGTGCCAGCTGGTCCTGTGTGGCTGCTGGAGAGGAGCAGGTGGGAACCGCTGTGCTTTGAACCTTCCCCAGGTGCCCGTCCCGCTGAAGGACAATCGGAAGCGCTTCCTGGCCATGAAGTGGCTGATCACGGAGTGCAGGGAGAACAAGCACCGCCGGACGATGATGCCCGAGAAGCTCTCCCAGGAGCTGCTCCTGGCCTTCAAAAATGAAGGGCCCGTCATCAAGAAGAAGCACGTCCTGCACAAGATGGCAGAGGCCAACAGGGCCTACGCCCATTTCCGCTGGTGGTAGGGACTCACAGGGACACGGTGCCACAGCCTGGAGAGCAGAGCCCCAGGGCTGCCTGCCTGGGAGAGGCTGGATAGAGGAGGCAAGGGTGGAACACCCTTCCAGACTGCTGCTGATCAACCCCAGGGAGAGCTCACACGATGCCATTGAGGCTCATTTCCTTTGTGCTTGTTTGGATGGGGGAAGGGGGGAATCTGAGTTACCAACCCCAGCAGGGATGCTCCAGTTCTTTCAGAATCACTTTCCTGGGAAGACAATCCTTAGATGTTTTTCTTAGAGCAATGTCATCTTTCACTTACCTGTTTCCTGGGGACTTGGAAGTCTCTCTGCTCCTGAAATCAGCAACATTTCTGGCTGCACAGCTAAGAGCAGAGCTGGATTTTTTCCATACCATAACCAGCCTTAGCAGGAATGGAACAACAGGCAATAAAAGGCCCTTTTTGATTTTTGCTTCCGGTCATCGGCAACATTGTCTGCACAGATTTGATGGGAATGGTAACAAAAAATAAAACCAGTTTTATGGGGAAGGTTTCTCAATTCCAAACCTTGGTCTGTGTTGCTTGAATCTCACACTGCACTTTCCAGCTGCCCTGGTTCTGGACAGCCAGGCTGACGCCCTACACTGGAGCAGGAACAGTATCACAGCCTTAAGGCTTCAGTCAGGAGCAACCCTTAAGCATTGGTCAAAGCTCAGCAGCTGCACAGAGAAAAAGCAGGGCACGTGTTAGTGGAAAACTTTTATTAGAAAAAAAATTCCTTCAATAGACTATTTTGCTTCCTTTCTTCCTCTCCCATTCTTGTAACAAACATCCCATGGCTGACACTCGCTAAAATTCTGAAAAAAACCTGACAGTTATTGTATAAAACTTATAAAACCTATTCCTACATGTGCTCAGGGACCTCTCCTGGCAGGTATTCCCGGCTGTGGGAGAGGCTGTGTGCTTGCAGGTGCAGCCAGCATGCTGGAAGGAGTCTGGGAAAACAAAGCACTTGGTTGAGCTATTTGTGAGGCCACAGTGTGTTCTGTGACCTGTCCCAGATATCCAGGTACAACCTGAGCTGTGAGATTTCCCTGCTGCCTCCCACAGCTCTGCTGGCTTTGGGGTGAAGCAAAATGTTCTCAGCCTAAACTGTGCTTTCATTACCACTCATAGAAAACGCTGGTGTGAGCTAGAAGCCTTAGGAGCCCTTTGCTGGCAGCAGCCCAATATTAAGACAGTATCAGTGGGGGAACTTCCTGGGAGAAACGTGCCCTTCCCCCCGCTCCAAACCTCCGAAGTCAGGCCAGCACCAGCTGCAGCCTGACTGTAGATGCCCAGGGGCTCTAGCCAGTATAAATCCTATTTACAGGAAGTGCTAGAAAATTAAGGTGAAAAGAGATTCCAACTCGGTACGAAGCTTGCTGGTGAAAGTGCTGGGGACTGCCCTCCTGTGCTGCGGGAGGTTAATCCGTCACCTCGCTGTAATAATATTTCTGGGCAGCGTCCGTCATCTTCCAGTCGGCAGCACGGAACTCGATGATCTCCAGCAGCAGGAGCTGGGACAGGGAGCTGAGCCCCTCCTGCAGGAGGAAGCCATCTCGGAGGAGGGAGAAGAGCTCATCCATCCGCTGGGAATTCATCTTCTCCAGCTGCTCGCCGATGCGGTGGAGCTGCAGGACCAAGCAGTCCACCTTCAGAAGGAAGAGCAGACGGCTGAGCTCAAAGCAGTGGAGAGCTCCTCTGCACCCCCCGGGCTGTGCTTTGTGCAGGTCCTTGGCAGGACAAGGGGCACACCAGCAGCTCTCCCCTGCACTCACCTCTTCCTCCTTCTGCAGGCTGTCGGGCTGTGCCAGCCGGAACAGACAGTCATAGACGGGGTTCACCAGAGCCATCATGGGCATGTTGTTCACCTGCAAGGAGGCAGGAGCCAGGTCAGCTTGGGGCCACAGAGGGAGGAGTCTGCAGCTATTTCAAATAGTTGTTCCCTTGCTGCTCTCCAAAGGAGGTGGAAGTAGGATTTAGCTGTGCTGCGAAATGTCATATTGGTGGGATTTACATTTGAGTCTCCAGGAACCAGAGAAGCTGAACAAATGATGTAAAAAACATCTATTTTTAAATTCAAGCAGATAATCTTGGGAAATACGCTTGTTACAACAGCATTTCTCCTTCTTACAGCTCTACTTGCATCATTTTTACATCTACCCAAAGCAGGAATCCGAGTTCACACACTGCACAAAGGCCTGCAGACAAACTCCATCAGCACGTCCCCCCAGGACCCCACAGCAACTAAACCAGTCCAGTCTGGAACATCTGGGAGCAGGCAAATCAGGAGATTTCAAACACCAGGTACAAAATGAGGAAGCTGAGACTTCGTGTTTGTGGAGACTCTGCCTCTCCAGGCCTGTGGGGAGCACCAGCCCTGGCAACATCCTCGTGCTGAGAACCAGCTCTGGCCCCCACAGCCCTGGGGCTCCCACCCAACACCCCTGGTATCTTGGGATGCCCAGGCCCTTCTGGCACCCCAGGCAGCAGCAGCTCCTCACCCTCAGGTAGTCGAAGATGTTGCAGATGAAGGTGACATAGCAGATCCAGGCCTGGAGTGAGCGGGTGCGCAGCTCCTCCCTGTCCTTGTACTCCTGCTGCAGCCGGTTCAACAGGCTCCTCCGGAAGATGCTCTGGCCAACTTGTTTGCTCTCTGCCTACAATCCCACAAAAGCAGGATGGAGGGATGAAACAGGGGTGTGGGAGGAGCAGGAGGATGCTGGGGGATGCAGATACCCTCCTGTGATTCCCAGGCAGGAATGCTGCAACTCACTGCCTGTGCTCACCCACTGCTCTGGATGCTGCTACTGCACGGGGCAAGCAGCAGGAGAGGAAAAGTGGCCAAGGGGTCAGAGCATGGGGCTGGGGCAAAGCCTCTCCTGGTCCAGCTGGGGGACAACCCACACAACATATCCCAAATGTTTGGCAGTCCAGACAGGAGCTCTCACCTGGATGATGGTGTAGCAGATCCGCCCTGCCTCCTTGCTGAACACACAGTCTTTGAGGGACTGGTCCACAATAATATTGGCCACTTTCTCCAGGTCCACATTGCTGGGGTCTGCAGAGAGGAGAAACACTGTCAGGACCCAGCCCTCTTTGGGCCCTGATTGCTTTGTGGGGTCTGGAAAGCAACCCAGGTCAGTGCATGGCCTGGTACAGCCACATCGAAGCTGAGCATGGCAGGGGAGCCCAGAGAAACTTGCTGACCTTTGAGGGCTGTTTTCAGCAGCTTCTGAGTCTCAGAGTCAAACGACTGTATTTTGTACTCTTCTTTGCCTGTTTCCCCCATGACTGGATTGCTCCAAGGGCCAGAGTCAGAGCAACAGATGGGCTAGTGCCAGTCCCTGGGGAAAGAGCACACAGAGCTTAGTTGGACAGAGAGGCAAATCTTCACACCCCATGCAGCAAATCCCATCTAGTGCTGGAGCTGTTATCCTGACAGCTCCCCACCCCGAGGAAACTCCTCTGTTATTAGGGCACCAATTCCAGCCCTAGATCCAAACATACCCTCACTCCTACATCTTTTTAAGCCTTGTTTCCTACCAGCCTATGACAGAACTTCATCTTCAGAGCCTTTACATTCTTCTGATATGAAAAACATGTTACAGACAAAGCAGACCCAGAATATATCAACCGTGCCTCAGAAGGCTTCACAATGGCTGTATCACAGGTAAGCACATGCCGCTCCCTTGTGCCTTTGAAAAACCAATTTAGCTGGTTTCACACAAACCTGGGAAGAACCAAAGCCAGCACGAAAGCATCCAACACACACTCACCTGAGCACCTCTCCTACCCCAAAGCCAGGCTCCCTCGGCTCCCAGCGAGTCACAGCAAGCTCCACAGCCAAATCCCCAACACCAACAGCTCCTGTCTCATCCCCCTGCAGTCAAGCACAGCTCTGTGGCACCAGCAGAGCACCTAAATAGTCTCTAGATTGATTTTCTTCTGCTCCATGATAAAGAAAAGAAAGCAAGAGGGTACCCACAGCACAGAGAGGAAGGGCTTTGACATGCACACAAGATGATCTGCTGGATTGAACTGCTGGGCTGCCAGACCCGCAGCACAAACAGGACAAGGCAATCGGCCAAATGAGTTTTGCCAGCTCGTCGAAATTCCTCGGCCATTACTCACCCTCTCTGCAAACACCGGATCAAAGCCCAGAACCCATCGCCCTTTAGGGGCACGGGCAGTACAGTGGGCAACCCCTCGGACACAGCACTTGCCAGGAAGCTGTGGCACAACAGGTAGAAACCCAGAGCAGAGAGCAGCCCCATGGGGGTGACGACCTGCTGACACTGCTCCCACAGCCAAAGCTCTCACCTGGCCCGGGACCTGCACAGGTGTCTTTCCCAGGTAGATTCACAAGCAGCTGGGTGCCCTCCGTGCCATGGCTGGTTGGCAACCACCTTCCCAGCCGACCTCTCCTCCTTCTGCACTGTCTCTCTCCCTCTGCACCTGCACTCACTCTCTCCTGCTGCACTGCCAGTGGAGCAGCCCGAGCTCTTCAACAGCCCCGTGTCCCACCAGCAGCATCACCACGCAGAAGGAACCTGGCAAGAGCTCAGCACCGCACACAGCGAGGCAGGAAGTGCCCGAGCCCGTCTGGCAGCGTCTCTGCAGCCGCCGCCGCCCAGCCCCTCTCCCGGAGCATCCATCCCCATGGCTCCCCGGGACGGGCACGGCCGCTTTGAACTGCCGTGCCAAATAACCCTGCCCAGAGCAAACCACAGCGTGTCAACACCAAACCAGCCAGGCCTCGCCTGCTCTAGAGCCTCTGCTGCCAGGACCACCTTGTCTGAAGGGCTGGTGGCAGTGGGTGACACCGGGCACAGCACTGCCCGTGGGTACCAACTGCTCCTCTGCCAGTGATCCCCACTAAACGAGTGTCCCTGGGACTGACACGGTTGGGGTCAGCGCCCTCAATCTGCCGGTGACCCACCAGCCCGGGTGCCAGGGCCGTACCCTGCGGGCACACACCTGGCAGGACCGGCTGGACAAACCCCGGCTACTGCAAGGAGAGAGGCAGAAGCGCAGCGAGTCCCCTGTGCTGCCCTTGAGAACCTGCCCGAGGGGCACCACCAGCCCCCAGGACGCCCGTCCGGCCCCGCCGAGCCGCAGGGGGAACGCCCCGCACCGAGACCAGGGCACCTGCGCCACCGCAGCCTCCCGGAACCCGCCGCTGCCTCCCGCCGCTCCAGCCCCGCGGCTGCCACAAGCCCGAGAGCCCCCGGACGGAGGGAGCGGCGGATCCCAGGGAAAGCAGCCCCGCTGCTGCCCCGGGCAGGGCATGGGGAGCCGGGCACAGCCCCACCGACCTGCCAGCCGCCCCCGCTGGCTTCTCCGGCCGCCGGGACATCACCGGCGCCTCCCGCGCCCCGCGCCCTCCCGGCACAGCCCAGGTTTCCTCTTAGGTCATTTCCTCGCCCGAGCCGGGGGAGGGCCGGGCCGGGCCGGGCCGGGAGAGCGCCGGCGGCAGCGCCACCGCCTGCGAGCGATGGGGCACGGCCGGGCTGCTCCCCCGGGAAACTTCCCGGCACTTCCCAGGCACGGCCGGGCTGCTCCCCCGGGAAACTTCCCGGCACTTCCCAGGCACGGCCGAGCTGCCTCCCTGGGAGCCTCCCGCGGAACTCCGGGCCACCCTCGCAGGCACGGCCGGCTGCCTTCGCCGTTCCCCCGGGCACCCCCGCTGGAGAGTCGCGGGCAGCACTTACCCCTCTGTCCTCACCTCCCGCGGGGCTCTCCCGGCGTGAAAACGGCGTTTATTCCGCTCTCCCCTCCAGGCCAGGGCAGGCTGTAGCAGAGTGGCATAAAAAAATCAATAGGGAAAAGAAAACGTCAGGAAAGGGGAGATGTGCTAAACCAACGCACTGCAACAAGAGCTGAGTATGGCATAACACACTTCACGTTTTTCCTCTAAACTCCCAACCGTTCCACATGGGAAGAGCCCCCAGGGGGTGAAGCCTTTCAGCAGAGCAGCCAGGCTGCTGAAACCAGGGAATGGCTCAGGAAACACAGAAAGAGCACTTTGGGAACATTTTCTGCAGTGCTGTGTGGCCTAGTTGGAGACAAAGCCTCAACTCACCCACCGAGGGTGGGTGGCTCAGGATTGGCTGCTGTGGCTCTGACAGCCCCTCTTGGACACAGCTATGGGATCAGGCTGCACAAATCCCCCTTGGCTGATCCCTTTTGGTGAGGTTCCCAACTGTGATTCCCAGTGCAGAGGGCACAGTTCTGCCTGCTGCTAAAGAGCACCCAGGAGCCAGCGATGGGAAAAACAGATGGCTCCTGCCATCTCACACTCTGTGCCCTGATTATCCTTCCCTTTTGGGCCACAGTGTTCCTGTGGGGTCCAGAAATATGCATCAAGAAGAAAGAAATAAACCCACTGTAGCCAGACACGTGCATAACAAAATATTTAATGTACCTTGTCTCAAAGGTAGGCACACGTTATGCTCAGACGCTTTCTGAAAACAGCAGCTGCGAAAGATCCGCTCAGGCAACACAGCAAAACATCACAGAGTTACAGTTCTACATCACAAGAGATACTTTAACCAGAATCAAACATGACCTAGTCCAATCCTGACCATAAAACATCCATTTCCTGTCAAAAATGATGCTGTGTAGCTCTGGATGAGCATCCCGAGAGCAGGACTGTCCTAGGAACTCGAGGAGCCAGCCAGCACTGCAGGAAGCAGCATGTCCATCACAGACCTTGTGTGTTCACCCGTCCGAGGCCGGCTCAGCGTCGTGATGGAGCCGGGAACAACCACGGCACAACTCCTCTCCAATGTTCTGCCTGCTGAGGAGCTTTTGGACTGTTCTGATGGTAAAAGGCACTAGAAGAAAACAAATGCAACTGCTGAGCAGCTTGTGAGGTGAACTGCAGGCAAATCCCCAGTGATAGGATTACCTTGGAGAGAAATCCCAATGGCCAATATCGGGCACGGTCGCTGCATTGAGTCACTTTACACTGAGCCTCATTGAGTCACTTCCCACTGAACGGGAGCAGCAGCTTCCAAAAGCAAATCTGTCCCAGCATATGGGAGAACAAGGTGACTACAGATCTCTGCTCCTCTAATTCTAGGAATTTAGCTGCTAACAGGGTGTGTTGCAGCAGAAATAAGACCTTGTCCTCCTACTGGTTCATTCAGCCTCATTTCCAAAGAGAAAACAACACTCCTGTCACAGTTGTTTCCTCCAGCAAAGTGCAGATGAGAAATCTATGAGGGACAGATGCTGCTGACCAGAGACAAGTGACTGTTGGATGCAACTCCCAATATTGTCTAGTTGAGGTGGTCATGTCTTTCTCCCTCTCTCACTGGCAGCCCGGGTGCCTTTATGGGCCTGTAACATTTGTGACTCACAGTCCAAAAGGTCCTGTGCCAAAGCCCTCCGACCAGGGAGTGTCTCTTCCACAGCCTGGGCCAGACTGGCACAACTTAAACTCTGACTTGGCCATCTGTTGGGTGGAGGCAAGCTCAGTTAATGCAGAGTGGAGGAGAAAACTATCCCAAGAGGAAAAGCTGCTCCATACTCCCCAGTGCTGCCCTCTCTGAGGGACAGCCAAGCTGCACATGCCTGCATCATCCACAGCAACCCACAGAAACATCATCTGAGCAGAGCACTGCTGAGTTCCCAACCAGTTCCCACATTTTGTGCAGTTTAACAGCAGGTCTTTGACATAAAATGGAAAACAAGTCTTGCAATGTTCAGACAGGACGGATGAGTCCCATTTCCTAAGGAAGCCTAGGTCAGCACTGAGCATTCTCTGCTGTGGCCTGTCCCTGCTAACCATGAGAGCATTGCTCTCACCAGCAGCCAAAAGACAATAACAAACCCAACCTGTTTGTGTCTGCTTTGAAATGAGACATTTCTCTCTCTCAGAAGGATGTCAGGAGGTGAGTTCATTACTGCTTATGATGTCTTTCCAAGAAAAACAGGTGAACAATAAACAAAGCCAAGACATTGTTAAGATTTTGAGCAATCTCAGAGGAGCCTAAATAACACGGGAAGATGCCAATAGGATTGAGGCACTTTGAGAAATTTCATTCCACATTCTTCGCATTTTCTCCTCTGAACAAAACTGCCATTTTTAGAGTACATGCAGCTCACAGCCCCTCTTTGAGGGTCACATATCGGCCTCCTGCCTGACACTGACGCTGCTCAGGGGATTTTATTTTACACAGCTCAGTCACCTGCAGTGAAACAGCCACTTTGCACTCCAAGATCTCAAACCACAGCAGACACAAAGTTATTTGGCCTGGACTTGCAAGGAATCTCTCCAGATACCTCAGCCACCAGTGAAACAGCTGCTTTTTAAAAACAGCCTCTCACAATAGCTCAGGATAAGTGAGCAATGCTGATATGCTCAAAATCGCCAGGAGAAGTTGCGTCAACAGAATGGAATCGGTCACGCTGGAATTTGGCCAGACCATTTGGGATTAACACCCTGAATACTGCAAAAGAGCTGGGAAAAGCTCTGTGTTAAGAGAAGAACCATGAAAGCATCCTCCAAATAACCCAGCACTCTGCCCTACCCACCCTTCCCAGATGACTAAAGTTTGCATGGCAGGGCTCTTCCTCGGAACTCTTCCGCACAGCCCAACCACACCCTGCCCAGCTTGAAAACACACAGAATAAAAGAGGAGGAAGAAAGTAATTTTCCTCTTTTCCACTGTTACATAAATCAGAGTTGTTGGTTCGTTGTTTTGTTGGCTTTTTTAACGGCTCCTAAAACCTTTGAAACTCCAGAAAAACACTTTTCCAGCTCTAATTCAATCATCCTTCTCTTGTGAAACACCACCAGGCCCAGCCAAACAATTCCCATTTGATGTTCATTCCTTTCACTTCAGCTAATCTTGTCAAAACATTTTCATCAGTTAGCACCAGTGTAGGACTGAGGTTCAGAAATGTTTTGAGGCCACTACAGAAATACTTGCTAGAAACATTCAAACGTGTTTGAATTATTATTAAATAAATAATAATATTAATAATAAAAATTTACTAGTTTCCACAGGACTTTCCCTTCATTATTCCAACTTAGACTAAATATTTCTTAACTCCATACAGCATTTGTTTACTCACTGCACTGAAGCAAAGAACCCTGAAGTAAGAACTGGGCTTGTGCGTTGAATCCCCTCAGAGCAGGGCTCTTAATCTGCAAGTTTGCTTGTGAGAAGTGTGAGTGAGGCAATGCAAACCCCTAAGAGATGCACGGCCAAACAGACCCAGGAAGAGAAATGGGAACTCAGGATACAATCAAGCTCACTGGAGTTAAAGGAAGAGCAAGTCTGGGTCTGTTATCAGAGAAGACTCTGTGTTTAAGGTGGCTGAGAATGCACAGCCAGCAAGGGGTGACCAAGCAGAATCAGGTGGCAGCAAAGGAAAGGAAAACCGAGGGTCTGTGCACTCAAGTGGTTTTACCTGACTTCACTCCAGCAGGACAGAGTGACCTGTGCAACACCCAGACAAGGATTTGGTGCAAACAGCAGGCCTAGAGCAAGGGAACAAAGCTGTGTGGATGCAGCGCTAGGAAGGGGTGTGGGGTTGGTTAAGCTGCACTAGGCTGGGTCAGGATCCCTCTCTGGGATCCAGGGCGAGCTCAGAAATTCACCCACTTTACTGGGTGCCTTTCCAGAGCACAGGTGCTGCTAGGGAGTGGTCTGTTGGTTCCCTTCTCTCCATGAAATGAGTGCTTATGAGAGGAGACAGAGGAAAAAAAAGTGCTCAGTTGAACAGCCTCCAGCAAAGCAGTTCAGTGTCTCCAGCAGAACTGCAGTCGCCTTCTCCTTCCGCTTGGTCCCAGGAGGTGATTCCCCACAGGCTGGAGGAGCTCTGGGAGCTCTGGCCTTTCCAACACGCTCGTGACAGAGCAAAGCCATCGGTCTCCCCTCCTGAGGAGAAGAGGCAGCCACACACATCCCTGTCAGCCTTCCTTCCTCCCAGTGCTGTCGGGGCTCTTCAGGGCGCACAGGAGGCTGCAGAACAGCTCATACCAGAAGAAGACGAGGCCAGTGGACAAGGCAGCCTTCAGCAGACTGGGGGAGAGGCCCTTAAAGAATCCACCTGAGCCCTCCTCCCGCATGATCTGCCTCATGCAGTCCAGGAAACCCCCGTACGTCTGTACCTGGGAGAGAAACGGCAACGAGGTTAAACAAGAAAACTCCAGGACAACTGGAAGGCAACACAGAGATCCTCAAACTATACCACAGAAGCATCATCTCAGCGTGCAGCCTGGAAATGCTTTTCTGGTACTATTATAACTAAGTGAAAGTCTCAGAGAGGCAGTTTAGAGAGAGTAGGATGGAGGGAAGGTACACATTTAGCAGCAGCAATGGCTTATGCAGATCATTCTAACTGTAAAATCTCTGGGCAACAACAGCATGACTTTAACATTTATGGCAAAAATTTACAAGCTTGTGAAGTCATTATTTCACATTGTGCTGGTACTGTTTTCCGTCCCTTTCCCTCTTTAAGAAGGGACAACTTACGAGTTTTTTGACAGAAAGAAAACACATCTACAGGACTTCAAAGTTTCCAGGTTAGCTGTCTGCATGTCATCGTGTCACACTGTGCAGTTTTAACATCCTGTGACACGTCAGTGCTAAGAACAAATTCTGCACCTTGCAAAGAAGAGAAAAAGCATCGAGTGCAATCAGTTAAGAATTCAAATTCCAGTGCACTGGACTGGCTCCATAGTCATGAAAATCCATCACTTCCAACACTTCTCACCTGCCCAAAGGCTGCCCGAGCGTGCTCAAAGCCACCCACTTGCAGTCGCTTTTTGACCACGTCCAAGGGGTATGTGAGGGTTTTGCTGATGATCCCAGCACAGCTGCCACAGACAAGGTTTTTAATGTTGCCTGAGAAGCAGAAGGGGAAGAGGAGAGCAGGCAGGGAAAAAAAGGGGTTGTGATTAAAGATCATAAGAGGTAGGTAAAAAAATCTGTGCAGGGGTAAGAATGAGAGGTGGGAAACAGAGATACTTTTCAGATGTTGCATCAAAAAGGGTGAAAGGACTGAGAACTGAGCTTACATCAGCCACCCAGATGAACATTCCTCCTCCTTCTCTCCTGACTGCAGACATCACTGCCCCAAAGTGCTTACCTCCTTTCTTTCCTTCAGCAGGAACCACCCATTCCGAGAACTGCTGCAGGACGTTGTAGAAGAAGAACTGGAGACCAGCATATGGGAAGATAGCAACGAGTGTGGGGGTCAAACCTCTGTAGAAAGTCCGAGGCCCTTCCGTCTGGTACATGGTCACCACTGCATGGCGAAGGTTGGGATAGATCTGGACGAGGAAGAGCAAACCAAAGGTCAGATCATTTCCCAGGAACGGGGGTAGGAACTTCCCACTGCCCAAAAAACAGCTGACTGTTTTCAGCACAAAGTGATGAGCAAGGTGATTTTGCACACCCTCACACAGTATTCCCTGCTAAGCCCTTGTGACTCAGAAGAAACAAAGCACAGAGCTGAGTCCTGAGACCACTTGCATCACAGACATATTTATTTTCCTCTTATCAGCTCTTAACTCCTGTAACAGAATCCATATCATACATATTGTGATTCTACTGCAGGCTAAGTAAAAACCCAAAAATGGTTCTGATACAGATCTATCTACCTGTGGGTATTACAGACCTAATTTGCATGGAAACCAATTCTTGTGTAAATAAGAACATGAAACACAGGTGAAAGGTAACTGGTTTCAAATATCATCCCTGTCATTACTTAAACATGACTCTGTGTAAGTGGAAGGTTTCAAAACCACAATGTTCAACAGCCTGAGGAAGGGGCTCTATGAATGGCCAACAGATGAAGTAAACACCGAGTTATCCTGTTAAGGACAGTTTCTCCTTTTTGGATCATCTGTCAGGAGTCAAACACAATCAGGAGCAGCAAAACATAATTAAGAAAGCTGTGTCAACAGCACAGAGGTAGCCTGGCAACGGTGCAAACACTGCCCATCACAGCACCCGCTCCCTCATTGTTCAGACACATGGAATATCGTTAGAGCTACGGGTGACAGTCCCAAACCCTGCCCCCTCAGGCTCACCTTGGGCTCGCCCTGAGCAGCGAAGCGGGTGCGCAGGGTGTCCACAGGCTGCACTGCCACGGTGGCTGTGCAGGCAGCCAGGCCCCCGCAGACCAGGTGCACGAAGGAGCCGCGGGCGCTGTACGAGGTGACGTTGTGCACCAGCTCTGTCAGGCTCTCAAATGCCATGAACTTCCAGAAACAAACGGACACAGGTCAGGAAGTCGATCCTCCCGACTCGCACGGATCTCCCACTCCTCTCTTATTTCACCAAGAGCTCCTCCCCCCTGCTTGTAACCACCTTCTCCGTCTGCCCTTCAAAAGTCCTCCCCAACTTGCAACGTGTAGAAGTCGCTAAGCAGCCCAGGGAATGCTTGGGATATTCTGGTCTCTGACACTTCTGCTAATTCTTGCATTTAGAATCATGAAATACTCACTTTAATGCTCTGTGTACCCTGAAGAGCATTTGCTGTGTTACAGATACACTATCCGTTACCCTTTCAACCACTGCTCAAAAACCTATTGTTAATATTTACAAATTCACAAGAAACATGCTGTGTAAAACACCCTCATCAGCTTCACTGATTTTATTCTAACAAGCCCTTATGGTGACAGCATGAACAAAAGTAAAAAACTATAGTGTCAGGAGTAAACAGGGCTTGCCTGTGACACCAGATACAGCCAGAGCTCAGTTTGCTCTTGTTGTGCTTCAGGCTGCTCAGCAAGCTCAGGAATATTAACTTAGGAATTATGCACCAGCTCTATACAGCTACACATCCTCGAGACTGGCACTGGTTTGTGTCAGTGCAATGTAAGGCTGGGCCTCCCACACTGCCCACGCAGGGAAGGGAGCAGAGCAGTGCCATGTGTGCTCACACTTGGCCCAGGTGATGTCAGGCCACCTCACCTGAACAGCTCCGTAGCCAACTGAGAGGAACTGAGCGGGAACATGGCCCTTCCAGAAGGCTCCCAGGCCCTCCTCCCGGAAGATGCGCTGCATGGCTTGCAGGATGCCGTGATACTTGGCTGCGGGGTTTCTGGAGGAGAGCTGCTCGATCTGGAGCTGGAGGAGAAGGGAGAAAATATTTTCCATTTCACACTTCAAGAAGGTTCAAGCGCCCAATTCAGGAATCCACAACGCTGTCAGCCAGCCAGTGCTAAGATATGACATTCTGCCATCCCACAGAACCACACCCAGATCTGACCGGGATGTTATTGATGTGGGGCTCTAAAAGAGTAAAAACATGCATGAACACGAAGGTAAGCAGTAGGGATGGGGGTGAAATTCAGTCAGGTAGTGGAAACCAATCACAAAAGCAGAGAAAGAGAACAAACCATGAAAAACACGTGATCCCATTCAAAGGGATCCCACTCCCACACAAGTTAAGTTATGTAAGTAGAACCGTTGGTCACAAGACAGCCCTGTGACCTCGTGTAACCTGTACACACCGTCGGCGAGCGCTGACAAGCACCTTTAGTGCTTTCTGGCTGCACAAGTGACCCGTTCACCCAGGACAGGACCAGCTCTGCTCCCTGACAGGCTCCCCCACCCGCTGCCCCCGAGCACGCCGCGAGCCAGGTACCTGAAAGCGGATCTTGACGACATCCAAGGGGCTGATCAGCACCCGAGTGACCAAGCCGGACGCCGACCCTGCTGCGGCCGCTTCCACCGTGGACACGCACTTGGCCTCGGGGTCGTAGCCCACCATGCCCGCCGGGTGTCCTGGGCGGGGGAAGGGGCTGTGAGCCCTCCCCTCACACGGGTGTCCTGGGCGGGGGAAGGGGCTGTGAGCCCTCCCCTCACACGGGTGTCCTGGGCGGGGGAAGGGGCTGTGAGCCCTCCCCTCACACGGGTGTCCTGGGCGGGGGAAGGGGCTGTGAGCCCTCCCCTCACACGCGGCTCCGTCCCGCACCGAGTCCGCAGCCTCGCCCCCCACACGGACCCTCCACCCCACAGCCCCCTCCTCACCCCGCGGGCCGCACAGACCGGCCCCACTGGCACCCCCCCGCCCCCCAGCCGCCCCGCACCGAGGCAGGACCGGCGCGGTTGGCACCGGGGGTGTCGCGGCCCTGGGCCGGGTCCCGCCGTGCCGCCTCACCCGCCGCCGCCGGCTCCGCACTGCGCCTGCGCCGCGCAGGGGCCGCTGGGAGATGTAGTCCCGGGAACGGCGCCCGCAGCGTGTGCGGGATGGGGCGTTGGCGGAGCCGCGGGGCCGGTGAGGCTGGAAAACACCTCTGGGATCAGCGAGTCCAACCTATGGCCGAACATCAACATCTCAGCCAGACCACGGCACCACCAGGGTGCCAAACACCTCCAGGGACGGGGATTCCAGCACTTCCTGCACAGCCCGTTCCAATGTCTAATGTCTAATCACCCTTTCTGTGAAGGAATTCCTCCTCCTGTCCAACCTCCCCTGGCACAGCTTGAGCCTATTACTTCTTGTCCTGTCCCTTGTTCCCTGGGAGCAGAGCCCGACCGCCCCTGGCTCCTCCCTCCTGTCAGGGAGGTGCAGAGTGAGAAGGTCCCCCCTGACCCTCCTTTTCTCCAGGCTGAGCCTCCCCTGCCACTTCCTGGTGCTCCAGACCTTTCTCCAGCTCCGTTCCCTTCTCTGGACACAAGAAGAGCAACACAGCCCTGCACGGTACCACGAGCCAGAGCCAGGAGAGGGGAAGGTCAACTTACACAACCATGGCAGCTACAAACGCTTTCTTGGCTCTACAGGGCCCAGGGGAAGCAGGGTTTCTAAGCTACCCCAGGTACAGTAGCACATCACTTCAATCAACATGTTCTCTTGTGGCATTACCAAAAAAAAGCCAAGAGCTCCGAAACACACTGCAAATTTTCTATAATAACTTCTGGCACAAATAAAGATCAAATCATAGGAAAATCCAGGCATTTCTGAGTAACCACCCTGACATCATCATTTGAACATAACAGCTAAGAGCAACTGTTAAAAAAGCACCCAAACTCTCCTGTGGGCCTTTTCCTGACACGTATTACAACTGACTGGAACATTCACATTATTCACAGGCATTTTCTGACCTTAAGCAAAGGCTGGGGAGAAGCTGCAGAGCCCATGGACCGGCAGCTCCTGACAGGTGACCTCGCAGCCTGCCTGCACACCCCTGTGAGCACAACGGGGCAGCTCTTTAGGCATCAGAAGCGAAAATCTGCAGGGCACTGATGGAGCAGAGCCAAAGCCACAACAGCCTGAGCCCCAGCTGTGCTCACACCAGCCATACACCCACCTTCCTTCACACACTCCACAAGTGTCTGAACAATAACACTCAAGAGTCTGAGCATTTTCTGATCAAATTTCTTGCAGCTTTTCCTTCCCACAGCAATTTAATATCATACAAATTATCTCAGTCATATTTTGGTCAGTTCACTGAAATAACAGACAGATGCTCAAGTGAAGAATTCAATGTATATTTATTATTCACAGTTAATTACTATCTACCAAATGCTGCTGCAGAGTTAAAGGATTAAGTACATAGGCCTTTTTTTATTTAAACACTGATTTTTTTTTTTAATATATATACACACACAAGACATATGTCTGCAAGGCTGCATGATATACACCAATTCCAAAATAAGGAAACAATCAAATGGTCCAGGTGTAGAATGCCATAGATTCCTTTTCCAATCACTTTACAAAGAGGGAAGAAAGTGAGTTGACAGCTAGCAAGGAGAGGGGGAGAAAGTAATACTCTACAGGATAGCTCTCTCTTTCATTTGCTGGAAAATTAAAGTGTAAGGCAGAGTCCATCTCAGGAGTAAAACACTTGTAACACTTAGTACAAAAAAAGGCACCCTCCAACAAAAGATTGCCCGTGCTCAGGCAGGGCGGGAGGAGATCTCCGCTGCGGGTTTGGATTCGTTGGTGGGGTGAAGGGATCCAGCCAAACGGCCACCAAAGGAAAAAGAACGCAACTGAAGATTGGCACAGAGCGCGGTGCGGATTGATTGCCTTCCTTCCGTCCAACTCAACGGCAAACCGCCCCGGGCAGGAGCAAAGGGCCAACAGAGCCGCCCCCGGGGCGCGGGTGGGGAGAACAGTCACAGTCACACACAGCCTGCTGTGAACGGGAGCTACTCCAACAGTAACACTGACCTGAGGAGGGAGGAGAGACTGCAGAACAGGGATGGCCAACTCCACTTCCCAAGGGCAACACGACTGCACGTGTTCCCTGCCCAGGCCGAGGAGACAGGCTGATCACATGCATCACGTAGAGACATTCACTAAGAGCGGAAAGGTTTTTCAAGCACTATTTCTTGAGGTTTCTCTGCGTTATAAAGTTTTCCATCAAAGGAATGTACATTTTATAGGACACGTCAGGGCTATTATTCCTCAAATTCCCCCCTTAACCCTCCCTCCCCCAAAATATTCTTCCTCATTTTCCCTGGTCATAACTTTCCCCTTTCTCTTACTTCTTTTGAGGCTCCTGGTTGCAGCTCTCCACCTCTGAGCAGCCTAAGTTGCCACTTGAATGCCTTGATTTTATTTTCCTCGGAATAAGGGAAGTTGAACAGTAAGACAAATCTGAAGATTAAAGCTCCATCTCTGTTTGTAGATTTTTCTCAAGTGTCCATTGATAAAACCACCCTCTTTTACCCCCTTTCCCCAGAGTATTTATTTACATGTAGGCAGAAAAAAAAACCCTCTGAAAAGCTCTGGACTGTCCTTTTAACTTAAAAAATAATAAAAAAGAAAATAAGGGAAAGGCACTATGGAAAAATTACAGAATGTGCTCAACCGTACACCTTTAAGAAAAAACAAAAAAGCTGTCAGCACAGCATTAACAGACTTCAGTTGTACATTGGAGTTTCTCAAAGCAGCTCTGTGACTCAAAAGAAAAAAAACAGAACAAAAAGCCACACAACTCTTCTCCCTTCCTCTGCTTGGAAGCTGCTGAGCTTCAGAAGAAAGTGCCAAAGGAGAAGAGACAATAAAAATTAGATTAACACCTCATCTTTCCCAGGCAAGAAGAGCTGAATGTTGAAGGCAAAAGCAGAGACTGATGATTTTTGTTTTTTTTTAAAGGCAGGACTGTGGATTTGGTTCTTCTCTCATGTCCCTTCATGTCAGATGAAGACCGTTTGCAGAGAGAGAAAATACCAGCAGAGTTTCTCCCTTTTCCTTTAACTGCATGGCTAGGACTTTATATGGCATTAAAACTTCATGCACTGATGGACAGAGGAGGAGGGGGAAACAAGAAGAGTTGTGGTGGTGCGACCTTAAGTGACCTTAAAACACTCATTCGCGACAAGAGTGAATAAAAGGGGATAACCCAGGAGCAGCTGAGGAAATTTGTTATTTTTCATTTTTCTCTCTCTCTCCTTTTTTTTTTTTTTTTTCTTTTTTTTTTTTTCCTTTAAGATAAGTTTTGGTGTGTAAGTTGAACTCTTCCCCCCCTGCCCCTGAAGTTCCGTACTGAGGGAAGGCAGATCACCTCCCGGTGAGAGGTGACTCTGGTTTTATCGCCGTGTGATTTTAGGTCACTGGCTGCAGTTAGGCTCTGTATGTGTATTTACTGTTTCTCTGGTTTCCTTAAATAATCTCTAATATTTATCTCTAGATGTTCCGGTTCACTGGGGTCACGTAGTTGCGTGGAAACATGCCCGTCTGTCCGCGGCAGGCTCCCTTCCACCAGTTGGGGTCAGAATTGTCAAGGACTTGGATAAAGTCTCCACGATGGAAGCCCAGCTCTCCTTCCTCTTGGGGATCAAAATCAAACAGGGCCTGAACGTATGTTGGTTGCTGAAAGGGGAAAGAAAAACATACACAGAGTGAGAATCACCCTTGGCACTGCAGACAGCTGCTCCCTGGGGCAGGAGCTGCACTTCCACCCCAGCTGAACAACAAACATTTCAGGCTGTTTCGTTTCCCAGCTTCCAACATCTGCAAGAAGGTGCTGAAACAGGAAAGCACAGGCTACAGAAAACCTTAGGAAAAAGTCAGGTTTCTGGGAAAGAGCTGAAATAAAGAGAGCAAATAATTCTGATGTTTCTCCAGTCCTTTTCAGTCTTTGTGATCCACTGGAGATCTGTGCTCTATTGCAATACAATCCTCTTGCTGCTTATTTGTCCTGTTTTCACCTGGCAGCACAAATATTGCTGTGATACACAAAGTTCCCCCTAAAATCTGGATGTTGGCATTTTACACGTTTTCCTTAAAACTCTCTTCTGTCACAGAAGATTTTGCCAGCAAATACTTCCATTTGTTTGCTAACAGTTCATTTAAAATGCATTTGCAATCTTGAAATCATGAAGGTCTCTTCATGGTTATCCTTTCCAGCCAGGTGTTTTCTCATCCTGTTTATCCCTGACCCAGCAGTGTAGAGCCACAAGTTAATTCAGACAGACTGTGGCACAGGGTGCCAACAGCACCTGGAGAGCAGATGAATTCCTCACCCTTTTCTTCAAGCCAGAACCAGAATGCTGCACGCAGAAGGCAAAAGGATTTATCCAAAATTGACAAAACATGCAGTTACATGCAATATAACCCTCTGATTGACCCGGGAAATGAAACAGAACAGAGAGCTGGATATACACAAACTGCTCTGCTGGCACTTCATAGTAGTTTTTGGTTTTCCTTAACAATGGCTATATCCAAACCAGAGCAGGGATGTTCCAGATGCTGTAACCACCTCTTCAGGAAAGGCCAGCACCAAATTCTCGCTGGATGTTGAGGGGTGCAGTTCTGGCTATGAACCAGTGTAAAGCAGAAGAGAATCACAGAATTGTTTAGGTTGGAGAAGACCTTTAAGATCACTGAGTCCAACCATTACCCCAGCACTTCCCTATCCTTTCTTACTGTCTCCTATAACAAGAGTAAATCAATTCAAAGGAATCAGATGATGTTCCTGCAACAGAATCCATAAACATTACAGCAAGCCAAATGTTCAAGCAGCAACAATAACACTTTGCCAGAGTTCAAGGGAGACCTGGGAGTGCA